AACAGATGTTAGCTCAGGGCTAATCTTCCCCACACACACACACACAAAAAAATTAAGTTTTTTTGCTAATTTAAACGGATTCTAAGACCAAAGAAAATCTGAAATTAAAATGTAAGTGTTCTATTGGAATATAGAGTCTTCAGAAAATCTGGCTTCCAAATTCTGAAGAGTAGAACATTCTTCTTCTTCTTCTAAAGGAAAAAGGGAGAAATATACTTGTAGAGTAAGTTCATTCCAGAGATTGATTCACACTTAAAATATTTATAATGCCAACTGGTGATGTAAAATAAATTAGGGAACAGAGTTTATGATGTCATTGATGATATTTGCTAAACCAAAAGCAGCTGTAGGTTATTAGTTTCATCATCAATGAAACCTTGAAAACATATGGTAGCTTTTCACCATCTACTTGTACAAGGGAAATAGGAAGGAGAGTTATAGCAGCTGAAATAAGCTCTTATACCAAGCATTCTAACTAACCAAGTTCTAATCCCAGTAACTAAAATGAAAACTACATTTAAAAGCTATATAAAAACCTTTGAATCTGCAAGCATTAGCTTGTGTGAGACCGATTTTTTATAGGGGCTTAATGAGCTCTCCTTAAGCATTTACCACAATCATCTTGCTTTGTACCAAAAAAGCCAAACATAGCAAATGGTGAATTATTTCTATGGCGTCTGAAACGTCATAGAGAGTACACAGACAATATACAAATTGTCTAATTACATTGAGAATGAAGTAATTTATCCCTTAGAATAGTAGTAATGGTTAACATTTATTTTATAGACATAGAGGATTGGAGTTGGCACAATATTCTTTTTTAAAATGTGCAAATCTTCCATTTTACAGCGCAGAAACTGATGTAAAATAAGACTTGCTGGCGGTCAGCATAAGTGAGCTGGAGGGTTAAAAGCTCCTGGGATGCAAGAACATACTGTCTTCAGATTCTTTAAACTCAGAATATTTACTGAGGACTTAGAACGTGAATCGAGCACACAATTTCAGTTAAAGCTCTCTCTGGGTGACAGTCCACATAAGCCGTCATTAGCGACCACTGCAGTAAGCCTTCCTTTAATAAGCCATATCCATGTGAAATCTTGCTGAAAATAAATGGTTTTATTTTCAAGGTATGCCTTGAAATTTGAGCAACTTCAGTATGTCCTTGATCACTTTTTTTTTTGTATACTATCAGAGTTATAAAGCAGGATATGTTTGGCAGCCACTACAAAGAGGAACAGTACAAATATCTGAAATAGAATTGTTTTCTGCTCTATTTTAAAGGATAATCATTTGATAAGAAAGACCATAATTAACCACTTCATTATACATGTTAGCATAGGGTAATTTTCATGATTTTAAGAACTTATTGTAAAATAATGAAGTAGAAATTTAACCATACATATGGATACTCATTAAATATATGAGGCTTTTCTGAAGATGGTCCCTAAGATAACTAGATTTGTTGACAGAAGTGCAATCTAGAATGGCACTCTATTGTCTTTTGCTTGAGTTTGGCAAATTGGAATCTTCAAGAAATGAGTAAATGTTCTCTACACGGGCTGCACTGGTTTGATCTTCAACTTCCCTGGAAACATCCTATGCTGATCAATAGTGAAAGTACCTGCTGGGTCTACAAAGACACAAATATAAGTGGTGTGCTAGTTTTTGGAATTAATTGCATTTGGAACATTCTGAGTAGGTACTCTCTGGTACTACAAGCATATGGTCATTTTCACAGAGTGCTATTTCTGTAAAATCTACATTCTTTCCGCCATCAGAATCTGCTTCTTTACAGATAGCTGGACCAAGTTAGAAAATGATTGCAATTTAGTATCTTCTTCTTCTTGAAGAAATAGGTTTGCTAAAACCAAAACATCTGCTTATCTTATTTCAGGAATTTGTGCCAGAAGCAACTGAATATTGATCAGCATCTCACATATTTCATTTAAATATCTACTTTTATATAAAAATCATAAAAACTTTTAAATACCATACTCCAGTATTGTTTGATGATGATTTTTTACCTGAGAAAATCAGGATGGTATTGGGATAGTGAAGGAGCGCACTTGGGATCCCCTCTCACTTCCCTCATTCTTAGCAGGCCACTCTGTCCTCTAACTGAGGCCATCAGGCAAAATCCTTCAACTTCCAGCTCCACTCCACTAGGCACAAACCCATGGATTTCTTTCCTCCCAGATCTCACTCTCTTATTCCAGGCCAGACCTGTCAAAATGGCCAGTCATCTTGCGCCCTGACTGGAGCTGCCTAGCAGAATTCAGTGTCCCTCCCAGGCTCCTACAGTGGATCCCCACACACTTGGCATAGCAAGTCTCAGATCTTATGACACAGATCCCTCCCCCCCGCCTTCCCTACTCATCTTTGTAGCTTTGGCACCTCTCACTAAGCCCAGCAAGCAGAGATACTCAACACATGTGTTGAACTGAAACTGCTTACTTTTAAGCGTGAGTTATTTTCAATAGCTTGAACCAGAACTCAGCTTGTCCCAGATTGTCTGCAGAACAGTGTATGATTTCTGCTCCACTTTATTTTTTCAACCCGTAAGTGACCCAAAAAAGAGGAATGAGAAATTTCCAGTGACTAGAATTGCCAGATAAAATATAGGTTGCCCAGTCCAATTTGAATTTCAGATGAACAACAAATAATTGTTTTTAGTATAAGTATGTCCCATGCACTATTTGGGACATGCTTATAACTAAAAACAACTACTTGTTGCTTATCTGAAATTCAAATTTGACTGGGCAACCTGGTTTTTTTTTTTTTTTGCTCAATCTGACAACTCTACCAGCGACTCTAAAAATTCTCAGAGAACTCAAGGAATGCTCCTTTAGAGCACCTGGAGGTCTATCTAAGCTCTGCAAACTTCTCAACTGACCAGATTTTTTGTCTGTTAATACAGCTGGGTTTCTTTCTGAGTATATCAATAACAAGCTTTAGGAAATGCTGTTCATTATGTAAAATTTTCACTTATTTTGCTATTTCATAGAACTCCCTTCTAATACTATCAATAATTTTAGCACAAAGAATATTGTAATGTTGCTCAAAATCTTTTGGAAAGCTAATATTCATAGATTATTACTATGCCTAAGTCCTAGCTACATGTATTAATAATTAACAATTTTTGAAAATTTCATATTTTCAATTAAGCCAGCAAAACACAGTAAGGGAAATAAATGTCTTTCATTTGTCATTTCTTTTCTTCATTAATCAAGCACAGTGACACATACTGTCCTCACTAACAGGCTGGGGAGAAGCAGCCTGGCAGGCGGAGGTGGAGCCTGTGATGTAACTGCAGTGGGTCTTTGTTGGAAAAGCCTTTCCTAAATGTGAAACATCTGTAAATCGCAGCGCTTCAGCCTCACTGTGTATGGGCTGGCAAGAGAAAAGAGTTGCCTCTTTTAGCATTGTGTATGTATCTTGAAGGCTTGAAATCTTAGAGGAATTCCTCACAGGTCGTTTAGAGACACACGTGTCTCAATAACAGAAGAAAAAGCAGGTTTCTTCTGCAAAGGAGTACCATTTTAGAGTATGCTGTATGTGGTGGCTTACTGATTAATGGTGATGGTGTGATGAAAGTTATAACCGAAAGTGTAAGGAAAGATGCCCTACAGCTTGTTCCAATCCTGGAAGTTCTTACATGAATTCAGTGTTCTTGACAGGGATTACAGAAAAAACATTCATTTCTTACTCCCATGAAAGAATTAGAGAGAGAGAAATACCTCCCAAGGTAGAGGGATACCAGAGTGTGCCTTCCTCTAAATTTCAACTAGACTGATCTCAGAGACAACTTCTAGGGCGAGAATGACGAAGTCCGCTGTAACTACCTGGTGTAAGAGGATGATAATGAATTAAGATGTTTATCCCAACACAATCACACTACCTGCTTTCCACCATATTGGCAGCTCCAGTTAAGGACGGTTAAGCTACCGGCACAACACGCACACACTGCAGAGACGCAGAACAATGCCTGGATGCCTGCCCAAAACTGGTCTCTCCAAATGACAGGCTCAATTTATGGTTCCAATCTAAAGCTGACTGGGAGTTAGCAGCGTCGTTTTCCTAGTTAGAGTGGGAAAGGGATGAAATTTGGAAAGCTCAAGGCACGAGGCTTCCACCTGCCTGTGCACAGCAGAAAGGCTGACAAACATACTCATTAAACTTGATCCGAAGCAAGCGAGCCTGCGAGGTCATTCCTGAAATATTCATAAGATGTGCTACCGGACTCGCCACTTAGAGGCTGAGCAGAAGCACCGCGAGTAGGAGCAGCCCGCACCCACACTTGGAGAAAAGGCACTCACAACAACACACCCCACCACGACACTCCACTGTTCTGCTTTTAACAGCTCTGTCGGCCCTTGCTCCCCACTCTTCTGTTCAATGCTGCCTGCCCAGGAAAGAGAGATGCTCTAATAAGTGAGGAGTTTGCCAGCAGTTGGAGGAGGCACCATGCGCCAGCCCCTCGGCTCCTCCGGACTCGCAGCGCGGATGACCCCTAGCCCCGTGGCCCCGCCAACCCGCAGCCCTGCACTGCCCCAGGGGCCGAAGCTCGCGGGGCAGAGGGACCTCAGGACCCGGACCGGCCACTCGCCCGACCTAGGCTGTCCTTCGTCCCCGCTTCCCATTTTGGCCTGTGCCAGGGATGCCCCCTCCAGAGCCCTCGGCGTTCAGTCGCTAGGTGACACGGGCCAAGATACAAACAGCGTCTCGCGCTGACCAGCAGCCTCACGGATGTTAATTTGGGGGCAGGAGGGGGAGAGGATTAAGGTCCCAGGTGACTTCGAAGCCCCTGCGCGAGGCAGTGTGCACTTTCATTCATGTCCCCTCTCTGTCCACAACCCTTACATTTCTGCCGCGCCCCAGACGCAGCGCAGCTCGCACAGTGCCTGGCGACCTCGCCGCCACCTCTCTCCTCTCCAAGGGCACTCGCCCCTCGCCCCTCGCCCCTCGCTCCTCGGGGGTCGGCCCCAGGCCCCGCTCATCACCTGGACTCCGGCGGCCGCTGAAAGCTCAGCAGTTCCTGGCACGCCGCAGCCGGGTCTCCATCTCCGCCTTCCCCAGGCGCTCCGGCTCCGCGCCCCGCGGCGGCGATCGACGCGCTCGGTCCCCGGCGCCGAGGCTGGACACGGGTGCCGCACTGGCTGCGGGCGCGGGAGGGGCGGGGGCGGGGCGGGAATCTGGGTCGTGTGGAGCGGAGCAAGCCGGGATGCACCCGGGGCGGCCCGCGGCCAGGACGCGACCGATAGCAGCCCGGGGAGGGCGTGCGGAGGTTTCCCTGGGAGCACGACGCGGGCGGCGACTGAGCATGCCCAGTCCCGGAGACAGGGGACCCGGCGGGGGGTGGGTGATGGCGAGCGCGGTGCCGGGGGAGGGAGCGCAGCCCCCACCGCGCGAGTCTCGGGGAAAAGGGTTAAATCTGCGGCCCGGCTGCGATGGGCAGACAGCCGGGAGTTGGCCGCAGGGGCCCACTTTAATTGCGCTTGGGTGGACCCCTCAGAGGCGTCGGGTCCTGGAAGATGGTGAACCTCGGGAGACTTGTCAATGGGATTCCCAAAGAGTCCTGGAATGAGTGGGTAAGGTGTGTTCCTCGCTTCCTCCCCGGAGAATTGTCCAGGAGTCAGTTTGTTTTTAGCTCAGCTCCAACCTCTGCGGTCTCACTAAGTAGTTCCTCCAATCTAGCCACCCACCCCTCCACTACTTTTCTGTGCTAGGGAGCTCCCCCGCAGGGGGGCCCAGGCAGACCCGCCTTTCCGAACACCTGGACCAGTCGGGTCGAGTTCTCAAAGAGCCAGCTCTTTAATTAGGAGTAATTGAGAGATCGTGTCACTTCACCAGGTCGCATATCTGCACTTCAACCAGGGCTTCAGAAACTAATACCGTAACCCCGGGGTTAATTATAATGGATGAATTATAGACACCCTGGTCTGGGGCTATTTGAGGAACATTGCTTCACAGTGCCATAGGACTGGCCCAGAAATCACACACACACACACACACACACACACACTAGGAAACCTGTGCCTTTGTTTCTTTGGTATTGTATTTCATGTTTGATGAAGAACAATTTTCTGTATATCTAATCAAAAAGCTTCTTATGTTAGAGGCAGCATAGGGTCAGGGAAAGAGCATAAGCTTCGACGTCGGCCGTGACTTCAGTTTCGTTTACCACCCCAGGAGTTTACCTAGCCATTTTGCACCTCTGTTTCCTCGTCTGTGAAATGGAGGGAGGTGACCCCTGTCTGTCTGGGCTGTTGTGAGGATTAAATGAGGCTATGACTGCAAAGCACCTGTTACGTAGTAGACGTATGGCTAAACATGGCTAAATAAAAGTCTCTGCAGGTTCCACCTCCACTGTTCTGTTTTTATGAAAGGTTGGGTTAGTGATAATCCTAAATAGTGAACATTTATGGTCTTCCCTCTTCACATTAAATAAGCTTTAGCTTTGATCTTTCTAATTTTTTATCATTGTTAAAAGCATTAGCCAATATTACCTTTGCTTTCGACTCTCCAGTTTCTTCATACTTCCTTGAATAAACCTGTTGCAAAAAGCTAGATCAAGGCCATATATGGGTCCTCTTTGGAGGAGAAAGCTTTTCAGGAGAGATTCACTATGGGCAGGTTTATCCACATGACAAATGAATTTTACTCCATAGTCTTTTTTTTGGTGAGGAAGATTGGCCCTGAGCTAATATCTGTTGCTAATCTTCCTCTTTCTGCTTGAGGAAGATTGTCCCTGAGCTAAGCTCTGTGCCAATCTTCCTCTCTTTTGTATGTGGGATGTCGCCACAGCATGGCTTGTTGAGTGGTGTGCAGGTCCCCACCCAGGATCTGGGATGCAAACCCAGGGCCACAGAAGCAGAGCATGTGAACTTAACCACTACACCACCCAGCCCGCCCCTCACTTCATAGTCTTTTGAAAATAATTTAATTTACCTGCATTGCCCTGTGGTCTTTGTTTCACAACTATTCCATAATGTAATGTATACTTTTATGGAAGGAAATTTACTTTCCACTAATACTGTCCACTTTTTAAAGTATCGATGTTCAAAAAATAAACTTTTCATTATCCCCCAAACATACCATGTTCTTTATAACACTTTGCCTTTATTTATGGTGTTCCACCCTTTCTGGAATACTCTTCTCTTTCCATTCCACTTCACAAAGTCCTACCCACTCTTCAAGCTCAAATGCCACCTCCTTTCTGAAGGCTTCCCCAAACCCCAAGGCTGAGTTATGCTCTGCTGCCATAGCGTGAGTGCCTACTGCTGTCACAGCACTTATCACAGTCTATTGCTAATGTTTAAGCAATGTAAAACAATGTACTGAGCAACTGTTATGTGCAGGCACTGTGCTGAGTGCTGGGAAAACAACGATGAACAAGGCAGACAAGGTCCCTGCCTTCATGGAACTTAGAGTCTGGTTTGAGGAAGGTAGGCAATAAACACCTAAACAATAAATAATCACCAAGGACACAGGTCAAGTATATTTTGTCTTTGTGCTATTCATCAAATTAATCTATATGGTCTTGATTCATCCTTCCAAAAACATCAATAAAATATTAATATTGGCCCTAGGCCTATCAAACTACACAGACATGGATCCTTGCCAGTTTGTTGCTGAACCAATGATTTTTACTCCTTTTATTTGACTCCCTCAGCTAAAATGGTCCTAATCCCAAACCACTCTAGGTAGGTACCTGCAGTCTCATATGATGAATGGAAGGTCATGGGGGAAGGCCGGAGAGTTTAATCCCCTCACCAAATTGTATCCTATCTCTAACCTCAAGAAACAGCATTTCTCCAATGGCTGGCTTCAACCTGGATTCCCAGGTCTCCTGCATCCCAAACTTCTCTTCCAGGGTCATGCACCACTCCCAACACCTCCTTTTCTCACCACCTGTGGCCTCTCTTTAAGTCAATAGTTATTCTCTATTGTATATAGATACAATGACTGTTTGGATCTACCTACTGTCTGAATGACTTAAGCTTTTCTCTCTGATTCTTTTATTGTCTGAGTGTGAGACGGACTTGGCATCACTTAGAAGCAACTTTTCCAAAGCATATTTTTTCACATGTATTCCATAGCAGTTAGTGACAGCCTTGCCACTATTTTTGTTTTTTTAATTTTTTACATTTATTTATTTATTTATTTATTTTGGTTTATTGTGATGCCGCGATTTAATCTTTAACTCCAGGGCAGGATCTCATTCATCCTTGTATTACAGAACTTAGCAAATGACTAATATGCAATAGACCCTCAATAAAAGATTGTGAAATGAATGAAGGAATGTAAACAGGTTCTCAACTCTTCTTGCTTCCTCAGATTATAGTTCTTTTCTAGTGGGTCTTCCTACTAACACTAGGATTTGGCTCAATTTTGTCCTTTCCTAGTCTACTAATTTCCCTCCAGCCACAAATCCACAGATTTTTACACTTCAGGGTCCTCAGAGCATTGTGGAAAAAATTTTAGCCATAATTCATTACAAATCTGTGTTTTTGGCTAAAGCCACACATATCATCTATAAATCAGTATCACTATTGCTTCCTCCAGTCTACAGCAAGTATCTTTAAAATTTTTTCTCTTTTCCACCTCCCCCACCCAACATGTTTTGCACATTGTACATCCAGCTCTCTCCACTGCACCAGGGAAGAGAGACCATCAGGGATCATCACCCTGGGGGTTAGCTCATTATGGTAAACACATCCTCCACACCCTTTCTTTTCTCTTCCTCTTCAATCTCAGCAGAGTAGATATTATCTTTATTCTTGAATGCTAGCCTGTACCAATAGACTATTCTCTTCCATCTTTATTCCCTCTCTTCTGGCTGTTAGCAACTCTTCTCTTTCTCTTGTCTCTCTCAACCACCTTCCATATTCTAATAAACATACCCACAGTTTGTTAGGAAACCTGACTTAACCCTAATACCCTTTTAAGATGTTTAAAAACAAACTTTCTAGTGTAAAGCTCTCAGAGGTCCTTTAAAGAAATTCATTGGTACTTTCCCATCTCCAGACATTTCTTTTGTGCTTCATCATGGCTACAGTTATATCTGCCAAGCTTGTAAGTACACAAAGATGTATGACCTCATGCTCTGCTAACTGAAGCAGCTTTCCTAAATAACCTCATCATCAAACATCTTTCGTCTTTTAGAGTACTAAGTACTGTTCAAGAAAAACTACTCTGATATGCAGCTTTGTCACAGGAAAACAAATAAAGCATTTCATCAATTAATAACACTGGAATAATACAACTAATAGACAATCTAGTAGGATAACATGCAGAGAAGTTTATAGAATTTCAGGTAATAGACTTGTTGGAGACTAGTATATCTTTGGATAATCCAGGAAGTCCTCATGGGCATCCAGACTGGCAGGGATCCATGCCCAGATAGTTTGGAAGCAATTAATTGTTGGAATGAAGGAAGTGAAGTGGTGACGTTTGCTACAGCAATGTTACATAATGTTAAAGCACCAGCCTGGAAGTTAAGGGACCTGGGCTTAATCTCTTTCAGTTTTGTCTCTAAAGTGAGGATGATAATGAGAACATTTACCTCAGAGTGTTGCTTGCAGAATTAAATTAATTAATGATTTGAAAAGTGCTTAGCATAGTGGCTGGCCCACAGTGCTCAATAAATGTTAGCCATGAATCCACCCATATTATTTCTGGATAAAAAGCCTATTTAATAGATTACCATGAGATCAACCACCAGAGTGGGTAGTTGAAGAAAATGAGGTCACCTAAGGTAGCATTTAGAAGTAATGAGTGGAGAATCCACAGAGGAGGAAGTTGTGCCTCTAAAGCTGCCCTAATTACAGCAGTGGAGCTGAGGAGGAAGGGAAGACCTAGGAGACGCTGTGCTCCGTCATCTCCTTAGACTCCACGTTGGCTCATTACAAGTGACACGGAGTTTGGGTCTTTTCCACACAGACGGATATGCTGAGTTGCTCAGTAGATCTCTCACTGAACATCATCGTTAGGAATTTATTTGAATAAAAACTTACCCACCCAGAGGTTTCTTTCTTTAGCAAGGTTGGATTGAGCAATGGGCAAGTAGGAATTTCCTGCCTGGATCTGTGGGTGAGGATTTGTGGGTGAGGTGGTGGCCCATTTACTTATTTTTAATCTAGCTCTGGCCTTAA